ACTACTAACTAGTATTAGTAATACTAATACTAGTAATAGTATTACTTGGTAAATACTCGCAATCGAGTTATTACGCCTTACCACAGTCTGGCCGCTGTTAAAGGCATAATGTTTCCTTTGATTATGCAATGTTAACGAATGCTAGAGTAACTGGCACCTTGTGTAGTTAATAAGTACATTACCTTATAGCCTAGTCCGCAAATGCAGATGTTATAACTCCGCTTTGCTAATCTGAAGGTGCGGGTTTATCGTCTGCCGTCACCCTTGTAAAAATTTGCGTTATGTATCTCTCTCTATCTCATTCTCGGTGTTCTCGAGTCGTTTCGACAAGAGTGAGTGTCGTTAAAGGAATAATAAGTCCATTGATTATGCAATGTTGACGAATGCTAGAGTAACTGGCACCTTGTGTAGTTAATAAGTACATTACCTTCTAGCCAAATACGTATTAGTTTGTCCAATACCACTGCTGGTTACATTACAAACAAGACTTGAAATCGGTTGTTGATATGTATCAACCTATCATTTACATGCCGTAAATGTCATCCAGGAGTCAAGCAATGACGTAAACATTTGTGCGACCCGTATGTTTTGGACACCAGATGAAACGGGGGTGTCAGCGGTGTAACCATGGCCACGAACTGAACATGGAAATAGAGTAAAACACACGTACTAATCACGGACGCATGTGGACAGCCCTGAAAAAGGTCCTTATCACGAGCGTCCATGTTTACGAAATCACTGATGATAGCATTGCGTACGGCCGAACATGCGTGCGAAAATGTCCGGTGCACTATAAATCTGTATCACACCCGCTTCGCCGGCAGCGGTTTGAAACTGTAAACAACAGATTTTTGGACTGCGGATTTCAATTAGACATTTCTTAGTAATCAGCGGTGATATTGGACAAACTAATACGCGTTTGGCTATAAGGTAATGTACTTATTAACTACACAAGGTGCCAGTTACTCTAGCATTCGTCAACATTGCATAATCAATGGACCTATTATTCCTTTAATGAATGCTCAGCCAACTAAACCTCTGACCTGATGCATTTCGGCTTCAGGTGTAGAGGTGTAGGCGCAGGTGTTGGCGAGACGGCAACCTGCGCACACCTATACTGCTAGCGACTCCCGCTCGCCTGCACGCGGGAATACTACCCATTGCTTCAGCGAGTCGGATTCCAGCTGAACACAATAGCAGCAGCAGCAGCAGCAGCAGCAGCAGCAGCAGCGGCGGCAGCAGCAGCAACAGCAGCAGCAGCAGCTGCAGCAGCAGCAGCAGCAACAGCAGCAGCGACCGTTTCACATTCTCGCTTCGACAACCCGCGATTTCAAAAGCAGTTGTTTCGTTCACAGTAATCTACACTTGGAAATTCCTCAGCGCGCGTTTCCATAGCGAAGCGTCGGTTTTTCGTCTGATTGCCGTGTGAGTCGATGGCAGACGACTGGCGTGCGCGTGTGCTGCCACGATGTGCACGCCGGTAGCTAACCCCCCCCCCCACACACACGCACACAATCACGCTCGCGTGATTCACGCGTGACCCGCGAGATATCATGCAATGGCTGCAGGTTGGATATCGCGATGTGATTAAGGCAGAAAGAAGACGTATGGCGACGTCTGAATGCGCTACTAATGACAGACACATGGTGCCGCTGCCGTCAGTGCCTTCTCGTTACTCGCGCTGCCGCCCACCATTTATCAGCAGAGAGTGTAGCTATTATTTGATGAGCCACACCAATTATCACCAGAGAGTGTAGCTATTATTTGATGATCGCCGATATTATTGTGTCGTTTGATAAATGCGTCACGTTGCGCGAATTCTACGCATGCGCACGCTGACAGGCGTAGAACCGCCAGCGAACAAATGGCTGACGCAATGAGACAATATCGAGGACGTGTGGATTCGAACTGATCGAATAACATTCGCCTTACTGATATATTGGCGCTCAGATTTGTTGTTAGCACGAACGTATCATGTATCATGCAC